AACTCATTTTTCAAAAAAAAAAAAAAAAAAAACTCGTTAAAGTAGATGTCAAACAAGGGCTAAATGTCACGACTCCATCACATTTTGTCTCCTATCAACACATTTCATTGCCCACGAAGGAATACAAACTAGCAAAAATTACTTTTTTGCCAACTTAATTATCTAAGGTAATCACTTTGCGACATGTCAACTCAACACTAGGCTAGATCATAAATCCATTAAATGAAACACACATCTAGCTTTAATCAATTCATCCAAAAGTTGCATTAATATGATATCGTTGTAATATTTGTATAACGTGACTTAGTATTAAGTTGACATGCTACATAATGATTACACGAAAACATTGCTATGGTTTGGTTGCCAATTAAACCATTTGTACCGGTTTTGGTTATGACAAGTGACAAATTATGACAAAGTGATGAAATTTAAAGACAAATTTAAAATTTAGTGGCTTATTTGAGATAAATTAAAGTTTAGTGATATAACTGAAATTTTTCTGAAAGCTTGGTGATGGCAGATGAAATTCACCAGAAGGAAAATTCTCTACAGTTTCTGTTTCCACATTTTCTTACGTCAGTATAAAATTTGTTGTGTGTAAGGCGACCATACGTATTTGAGTCAGCGTGTACGTCCAAAAATTGATCCGGTAATGTTTGATTGTGATTGGCCGGCGGTATTTTCATTTTTCACTCTTGTGTTGACTCTTTAAGAGTCTGGATTGTCTTGCAACCTGTTTGGGAGTGATTTTTTGACTTAAAAAATTAATTTTTTGACCGTTATTTTATTATTTCAGCCGTCGTATTTGACTTGAGAAATCCCACTTTTCTCCTAACAATCAAAAAATCAATTCTAAAAATCACTTACAAACAGACTCTTGCTCTTAAGCAAAAAAAATTATTTATTTACAGTAATTAAAAGTTACTTTAAAAGTAAGTTATTATTATTATTATTATTTGGAACTTTAAACAACTAAATCATTTATTTCAGAATATAATTATTTTTACATAAACTTAAATCCCTATTTGTCTATTATTAAAGTAGAAAACTAAGTTTCGCAATAAAGAGTTTTTGAAAAATGTGTAATTAAAAAGGTTAAAAAAAATTTGAATTTATGCACAAAATATTTTATTAAGAGAATGTTTGATTAAAAATGAATTATTTTTTTTAAAAAATTATAATAATAATCAACAAACAGGGACTAAGTAGTTTATTAATTTATGTAGCTTCACTTCGACGTCCAAGTTTGTGATTGGACTCCAAATTTCGCACTCTTCTTCCAATTAATGTGACTTTTTTAGTCAATTTCCATCGACGTACGCTGTTCGGAACTGTTTTTTTTTTTTTTTAGTGAAGGTGGACAAGACTGGCAGAAATAAAATGACGTTAATTATTTTTCTATAAATTAGAAAGTTGTATAAGTTACGTTATATTGACAATTTAAGTTCTAAAAAAAAAAAAAAAAAAAAAAAAAGTTGTGAGTTCAACACAAAAAAAAAAAAAAAAAAAGTTGTGAGTTCAACACAAAAAAAAAAAAAAAAAAAGTTGTGAGTTCAACACAAAAAAAAAAAAAAAAAAAGTTGTGAGTTCAACACAAAAAAAAAAAAAAAAAAAGTTGTGAGTTCAACACAAAAAAAAAAAAAAAAAAAGTTGTGAGTTCAACACAAAAAAAAAAAAAAAAAAAGTTGTGAGTTCAACACAAAAAAAAAAAAAAAAAAAGTTGTGAGTTCAACACAAAAAAAAAAAAAAAAAAAGTTGTGAGTTCAACACAAAAAAAAAAAAAAAAAAAGTTGTGAGTTCAACACAAAAAAAAAAAAAAAAAAAGTTGTGAGTTCAACACAAAAAAAAAAAAAAAAAAAGTTGTGAGTTCAACACAAAAAAAAAAAAAAAAAAAGTTGTGAGTTCAACACAAAAAAAAAAAAAAAAAAAGTTGTGAGTTCAACACAAAAAAAAAAAAAAAAAAAGTTGTGAGTTCAACACAAAAAAAAAAAAAAAAAAAGTTGTGAGTTCAACACAAAAAAAAAAAAAAAAAAAGTTGTGAGTTCAACACAAAAAAAAAAAAAAAAAAAGTTGTGAGTTCAACACAAAAAAAAAAAAAAAAAAAGTTGTGAGTTCAACACAAAAAAAAAAAAAAAAAAAGTTGTGAGTTCAACACAAAAAAAAAAAAAAAAAAAGTTGTGAGTTCAACACAAAAAAAAAAAAAAAAAAAGTTGTGAGTTCAACACAAAAAAAAAAAAAAAAAAAGTAAAAAAAAAAAAAAAAAAAAAAAAAAGTTGTGAAATAAGTAAAATAGAATGTGCGTATTTCACAAAATGCGTGAATAAAAAATTATTGGACTAACTATAAATCGTTTATAAACATTAAACAAACATGGGCTTCTCTCGACTAGTGATTGCACCTTCCTTAATAACCTAACTCAAAGCCATACGTGTAGAACTCTACCTAAGGTCATTGGAAACTTCCATGAACAAGCTGGAGACAAGATTCTTCAACAAAATGAGTTGGCACATATTCATCTTCAAAGAAAGTATGTCATGCTTCATCTAAAAGGCAAAAAATCTGCCTCATATCATATACAGAAACCCCTTTCTTAAAACAATATTTTCCAGTACAACAGGATTCAAAAGCCCGGGACGACATAGAATATCGTTCTTCTAAAATGATTTCTGCTTCCCATTTCCAACATTTAATTTTCAAGATTCTTTACGAGGAAGTAGGGTCAAAAGTGTGGAATATAAGCTTAGCAAGTATCAAAATACAAATTATCATGATTTATGAATAGCTAGAACCACCAAATCATTTACAGGCCTTCCCAGGAAGCCTCCCAAAAGCTCTCCAAATCAACAATTGCAGTCGAGGTGCAATGATTGGACTTTCGGGCACAGAATCCTCAACATGTCAACCTCTTCTTTGTTTACCATTGTAAAAGAAAAATGCATTATGTACGGCTATCATCACTAGAACGATACCCCATTAACAAACTTGCTAAATATATTGTCTTTTTATGGGAGGTAAAGTCTGCAAACACAAAATAACTATCACTGTACTTGCACTCCCCTTGTTCAGTTTTAACACCGGGATTATTGTCCTCTTAATTTCATCAACTTAAACTATGTCATCAAGGAATTCTCAACCTGAAAGCCACATGCCAGCTTATAGTCATAGGAAATTCTCTACTGCAATATCTATTGGGTATCACACCAGCGACTGCTCTATCATACATATCTTCCCTGATACATCTAACAGTATTTCTTTTTTTCCATCGCACTCTTGCCACAGCACTTCCTAAGAATAAATAAATATTACAGGCAAAACTTGCCTCTTTTCTGTTAAATTTAACATCAAAATCTGAAGAAGGCAAATGACTTCTACAGTATATTTCCCAAGCATGTATACCACGCCACCAGTGTTCCTTGAGACATTTCAATTACAACAATTTATGATTAAGGCCTCCCATATTTTGTTAGGACTCCTGAGCTTATACTAAACAATTTATACAATTTTGCATAGAGCTTTATTCTTATGAAGTGATGCCATAACACTATTCTTCAATGAATCGAGTATTTTTATTCGTTTAAGATCTCGTGAAATAATTTTAATCATAATACCTTTCTCGCATGGACTCTTCCATACTTTGGATAGAGATCCCATTGAGACTAATTACGTCTAAGTTAGACATATCCACTACCTCCCTCAATTCCGAAACCTAGTACTTCTAGTCCAGTTGACAAATCTATTACCAATACAGTTCAATAGATCCCCAATATCCGCACTATACCTTCCATCAAGTGATATTTAAAAAATAATTATTCCATATTTATGTGATTTATAGCTACCAAAAGAATTATCTTTAGTTTTTGAGCTCAATGCACTTGGACATATCTTGTAACTTCCTCCTCATCCTTGGTTCCAAGATAACTTGAGAAATGATCAAGCAACACAGATCAGGACTCTCAAATTACACTCTTGAATCCCATTCAGTGTAAGAAGCACAGCCGCTGACACAACATGATACAAACTCTCCGACACATGATTTTTCATAAAAATAAGACACAGACACATCATGGACATGTTAATTTAAATTCTTCAAAAAGTTAAACAATTGTATACCACAAAGTTTATATCTTTATTTTGTACTTTTTAATATAGGACGTTTAAGGAGTGTTCTCAAAGTATTTCCCCAAGTGTCGGAAATTAAAAAAAATATATTAAAATAGCACATGTCAATTTGCTTGTCTAACAAATATCTTGCACTGCTCGAAGAATGTCAATGTCTGACATGGACATGCTACCTAGTAAGAGTGTCTAGTTGCATAGCATTCAGCGAATCTATGCTTCTCAAAAGCCTTCACATTTTTATACTTTAGTAGTTTTCCATAACATGTATTTCAGTCCTAACCACCCATTTCAACCTTGCTGTTCCACTACCATGTCTCCTTGTCAGGTCTACTTCTACCAGGCAATTGATTCCGCGTTACTTTATTATATTCATTTATATTGCATTTCCCTTCAAAACTGTTATGAAATCGCATTTCTAGTTCACCAGGAAACTTCCTGCATATTGTTCTAAAAACTTTAATCTCTTTGGCAATTTTCCATTTTTAATGATCATCATTAACCTCTATTGTGTAACTAGAATCTCACTTAATGTTAGAATCATTTCACGACTACCAATCTACATTTGTGTAAAGATAAATCTATTTGCCTAAACTTGTGCCACTTTCAAAGCTCCAGTATATCCTAATGAAGTACATGCTCACCAACATCTAATCATGAATTATCCCAGAGTTTGTTACTTTCTTTATTTCGATCCCAGAATTTGTAATGTTCATGAACTCTTTTCATATCACTTGTGCACTTTCACCATGTTGCTCTTCAATTCTTTTCAAACAAAGATCCTATCATGACTAGGGACTACAAACACAACTCTCCTACATAAAATTATTCCTTTTCCCAAGTTAATCGAGAAAGCGAGTCAACAAAATAAGTGCTCATGAAAGATTCCAAGGACGATCTTCATTACACATTAAACTTTATCTCACCAAAAAATAGGATACAGTGGATGCTGCAGACAACTTTAAATAAAAAATTCATTTATCAAGCAATTTGAAATAAAGGTCAAACATACCTGTGCTAATACTCTGGTAATCTTATTTATCTGTAAAGGTTAACCACAAAATTGCCTGAACTTAAAATTACAATTCTTGAAGCAGCCTAAATTGGCTGGTTAGGTAGAATGGGGAAATTTCTCTCATTTACCTTACACAGAAGTCCTTGAGGTCAAATCAATGTCAATGGCTATCAAGAAAGGGACAAAATAATCACAAAATGTATTATAGCGAAGAGAAGCTAAACTGCACACCGCTCTTCCCTTGGTCATGCTCGTGTTGTTTCAGTATGTAACAGTAGTTAACCTGATTATAATGGGTCGAGCTGTCAGAGATATTAAACAAGTACTTCGACACGTATAAAAGACAGAATAAATCCTTCCTGGGGACTACAACAGATGGCTCCCAAGTGGGTACAAGTTGTACTTCTGGTTTCAATCCATATTTCAATTGGAAAAAAAAAAAAAACGACTTTAAAGTTTAGTAAATTTTTTTGCTGCTTTATTCCCCCCGTCCGATCCGTGTTTTATATGAATGTTGGCGAATTTATTAGCCATTTGTCTGAAGTACTTATTCGCTATTTTATGGTGCAAAAGACATCAAAGTTGTCAGATGAATATAATTAACAATCTTTATTATTTTGATAGAAGTGCTTGTCTTGTGAATGTTGAGGGAAAACCAACAGCTAAAGAACAGAAAAATTACTCCATGATGAACCACAAGAACATGAAAATTGACACGCTCCCAGGAAATCTGAAGGCAAAACTCTAGAAATATTTAAAAATTTATTGATTCGCTCCCTTTTCCAATTTAGCCCCTTCTTGATAGAGATTTTTTGAGAACAGATTTCGTGAATAGAGATTTTTTTTGGTAGGGAAAATTTATGGATCCACATGCAAAATTATGTTATTGAGGGAATATGTGGTTGAAAATGAGTTTGGAGAAAATGGGGGGCAAACAGTGACTTAATCTTAATGTCTTACTGCAGATAAAGCATTTTCTTACAGATAGGAGATAGCCCACATAGGAAAAAATTATCCTACCAACTGGTGGTTTGAGTCAACGTCACGCAGCACGGGCATGTCTTTCTCTTACCGAAGTCAACATGAAACAAATAATGCCCCCATTTGGTTTATATTAATTTCAGATTTATAGTATATCTAGATAAAAGTTAATGAAATATGTGGTTGTAAAGTTGTAGGTCTCATGAAACGTGCGATTGAAAATGAGTTTCAGAAAAAATGAAATTTAGAAAATGAAGGCAAAACAGAGGCAATAATTAGTGTCAGGATAAATGACTGACCTCCATGCGGAATAGCTTGGTGGGTACAATGATACCAAATCCTGCAGAGCATCGAAAGGAATCTCGTAATTTCTGTAATGAAAATTCTCGATATACATTCTCAGTTAATTTAGTAAGGCTTCCAGTACAGGCAAAAGCGTGGCCATGGATACCAGCTTCTCTGAACACCCTCAAGGGTAGATCAAAAGACAAGTCTACAAAAGCTGTTACAGCAAGGTCTCCACCAATAAAATCCATTCCGGTAGAAGCGTCAGAGCTTTCATTATTACCGTTTCCTCTTTCTTGTCTTCTAGGCTCAGCAGGGCCTAGTCCCCTTGCCTTGAAACCTAAAATTGACATTGGGCCTCTCAAGGTGCAAACTGGAGAAGAATTACCACCCAAGAAGAACCTCTCTGGTAAATATGAAGGTGTATTCAGGAATCCTCTCCCCCATGGGAAAATAACACCACTTGAGATTCCAAAGTTCAACGCAGCGCGGTAAAATCCCAAGGGAACAGCATAACGAAGATCAAATTCCTGTTCAGACAATACATGTATCACATTAAAAAAATAAGTTACTTCAGTAGCATGTACATGGTCATAGAGAGGAATGAATGATATCAATCACATTAAGATGTCTTCAGACATCGCATGCATAGTGGCTGGTAATTGCATCATATATTTTACAGTGGAATATATTTCGAAGCTCATGGAGTCAACAATAATACGTGTGTAATTGTGAGGTGAAATTCAGTTTCAAGTATGACCTCTAGCTGTGGGGAGTACCTGATGGGTCAAGCCATATTGAGTAAAACATAAAATCATGGATCATATGATATCAAATCAAAAAAGATAAGTTGATTAAACAGTAATGATGCTCAAGCAAAAATAAATAAATAAATAAATAAGGGAAACTTTGAAGGCATCACTGATTGACAAATGAACAAAAGAAATAAAAAGAATAGTCAAACCTGACGTATAAAATGTAAGCTTCGATTTTCTGGAACAAGACCACCGATATGTGTAGTGGAAAGGAAAGCATATCCTCGAGTTGGCCTTAGAGGTGAATTTCGCTGGTCAACTTTAAATGTGTACTTCAGAGCTGAGAGTAGACCATGTCCAAGCTGCCTCCTAACTGAGTGAGAAGCCATTTGAGATGGATCGGTTAAGGTACGCCATGAGAGATGATATGATAAATCATGATTTCCAATGGATAATAGGCCAAGTGATATGCCCAATGCTTTCTCTTTATAGGAAGAAAACTTCAACCAATCTTGGGAAAGAAGAGATATTCGAGCTGTCAAAGGTGTGGCCAATGCTTTGAATTTGGGAAAGGCGACTCCGGCACTAACCTCTGATGCTTGACCCCAGCCATAAGCCACAGAACCATCCCATAGATCTCCATAACCAAACAAGTTTTTCAGCTTAAGAGATCCTTCAAGAGACCATGACCTAGCCTACAAAAGTGCTTCATAACATCAAAAATCAAATAGAGATGGCATTTCAAACCATTTCCACAAAATTAAACGTAAACAAAAGAGAATATTGAGCTAGCATTAGTCAATTTCATGGTAATATATGACTCTCTTAATGCTCGATCTATACAAATCAATCATTGCCCTTTATCAGCTCAACTTAGTTGAGTTTCACTTTCCACCAAGTGATTTAATACCTTCACTTTTTATATAAAAACATGAGTTTGTGGAAGAAAATTTCACTAAATTTTTGTTCGAGGAAACTGTTAATGAACACCTGTGAGAATTTCCTTCTATCCTGTTTTGAAACTAACCTATTTAACTTCGAGTTCAAAAAATAAAATACAAAATATAAAAAAACGCGACTTCCAATCACACTCTTGAATGCAGCCATATGAATATTCTACTTTCACATAGATTAACCCTCTACATCACTGCTATCAATGCACACAATTTACTATTCACATTGTCATATGCAACCAGCAATCAATTGACAAACTCGAACATTAAATAACCCACTCGTATTGCAAAACATTAATATCAACAATAGCATTTTACATATAAAATAAAGAGTTTATCAAAGTGAGTATACCTATTACAACTTTAATCCTACAATAGTTACCTCGGGTTTGGAAAAAATTCCTACATCGCCGGTGAGAGGGTTCTTGGCCTCAGAAACCTCTACCACAACATTGGCAGTTCCAGGGAGCTCAGGCGGGCCGGCGTCAAGTGTAATGTTCACAGAATCAAAAATATCAAGGTGCTGCAGCCGCGCGTTGGCGACACCTGCGGCCTGGAGCAACTGTTGTACTGTTGTAGCATTCTTGAGTAGTGCCTCGACCTCGGCCTCAATTACGGAATCTTTGGTTTTCGTGTTGCCCTTTATCAAAATATCGTGCACTCTTACCGGGACTCGCTCTGTGGAGAGGCGCTTGAAAAGGGATTCCATATTGACCCGCTCCGTACGCATTTGGGCCTCCGGAGTTATGGGTTCCGGTTCCTCGTCATCTTCTTCTGATTCATCGTCGTCTTCCTCGATTTCTGATTCGAAATCATCGAGGTCGTCGTGTGCGGTGGTGGGATCACTGTGATTCGGGTCCTCGGGTTGGCCCAGGTGGGCATCGGACTCGGATGAGACTGCCATGTGACCCTTACTGAGGGAAAAAGACGAAGTGACTGTGGGCGGTTGGCAGCCGTAAGAGAGGGAGGGAGTTCACCGTGAGCAGGACGCCGGCGCAAGTGTGAACATCTGTGCATAGCATGTTTGGCTAACCTTAAAATATATGTAATTCACTCTTATCTGTTTCACTTTAATCATTAAAAATATATTGCTTATTTTGAAATTTACTTATAAAACAAGTAAATTTTGATCCCCTTTTTGGAACTAATGAATTTTGGAATAGTATTTTGATAGAAAAAATATGTGGTTAAAAAATAAAAATAAAAATTTTGAATTTGCGTATAATATTATTTTATTGTACAATGTGTTATTAAGAATAAGAGAAGAAAAATGTATTTTTGAAATAATTGTTGCGAAACAAGGCCTTATGTATTTAACCTACTACACCCGTAATTTCAAATTATCTGTAAGAAGTCCAATATATCCAAAATATTTACGGGCATCTCCAATCATGACACCATTGCACCATTTTGCATAATTTTTTGGTGCAAAATAGCTCCAACCCAACACCAAACTTTGCACCATTTTACACCAAAATGGTGCATGTGTAAAATGTCCCTTTTGCCCTTATTTAACATTTTTCAAATAAATTTGTTGAGGGTATTTATGTCATTTGTGTTATATATTTTTTAATACAATAAATTATTATTTTTATTTTTATTAATATTAATATTATTTGTATTTAAAATAAATTTTAAATTTAAGACATAATAATTAATAAATTAATTAAAAGATGAAAACAATTTAAAATACATCAAACACGATTATTTATTAAAGTTAACACGAAATATATTAAATAATGACATACATACGATAATCTAATTTTATTTTTAAAAAAAAGATACATAAGGATACGTACATACCCTTGCTCGTCATAAATAAATCAAGGATAAAGAAACTCACATTGCACTTCAAAATGCATTAATCAATCATTTGTGGAATGAACATATGAATTCTGAGAATTAAATTGCAAAAATTTAGCGATTTCGTAATATCATCTATCCAAATTCGAAATGCATTGTACTATTTTCTGACGGCATGATTTCATATTTTCGTTGTTGTAGTATTTTTATTAATTGTTCTATGTTTTTTATATTTATTAATGAATTTAATCTTTTCTGTAATTTAACATAATTATTTATTTAGTAATTTATGTATTTATGAAATAATTAAATAAATAATATTTCAAATAAGTAAATTATAAAGAATAAAAAAATGGAAGAAAATGGTTAAATACTTTTCATTTGGTGTAATTTTTGGTGTAATGATTGGAGATGAATTTTAGTTTGGTGCAAGATTTGGTGCAAGATGATACAAAATTTGGTGCAAAGTTGGAGATGGCCTAAATATCAAGTGATTGTAGGTGTGTCCGATGTGATCAATTTAAATACTAACTCAACTGTGGAAGATAATAAGTTATAATTAATTTCAACACGTGCCACATCAAATTAGACAAATACTTACACTAACATCATACATGTAATCGTCATAATAATATTCATGTCTACCAGCATTTCATCGTCTTTATCGATTACTTTCCGAACTGGCGGTTCAGTTAATTCTCAATTGATCACGGCTGCGTGCTAAACTACTTCATATTTCTCGAAAAAACAACAGAAAAACATTTAGAAGGTGTTTGGAAGACATTTTTATGTAAAAATGCGTTTTTGAATAGTAAATTGACGGGATATGTGTGGTTAAAAAATAAGGAAAAGTTTTTTATTTACGTGTAATATTATTTTAATAAAGAATGTGTGGTTGAAAAGAAGAGAGAGAAATACATTTTGAAAAAAATGACTACCAAACGGGACCTTAACTGCATACTTGGTGTTTTCTGGTTAATCTCAACCACCTTTATAGGATGCCATTAAGAACCTCTAAGGTGCTCTTCTTACGGTGAGCACAATTGTGTTGCGCTTTCATGTGCCTCGACCTCGTTATACTTCCTTCTCATTGCTTCGTGAAATTCATTGTTGTTGAGTTCTCCCATTCTCTTCGCACAAACTTGACCATTTGTTGATAAATCTTTTAAGTCCTAGGTAGCAACTTAATTGAGACACTGTAAGAGCACAAACTTGTATAATAATAAAATAAAATAAAATAAAAAGCGAAAAACCTTATCTACATGAGTTGCTTGCATCTACCATGATAAAAATGATGGTCCAGCCAATGGCTACAGAGTACTGGCTAATCTTACTCTGCTCAGGTACGAGGGTAGGACAGAATCCCTCATCCAGCATGGGTATTCCAAAATTTACAGGTTCTACCCTAATACAAGAATAAAGATAATGGAATTAACTATAAATTTATAGGCATATCAGCCAATGAGCTGTACTAAAAATCAGTAGGTGTTACCGTTGAATTTTTATTTTATTTTTTGCCATCAATCGAAGTACCGTAGGCGGTTGCTGACATTATTGAGGATATTGTCGGTATTAGTTGTTGAAAGATGTGCATTGATGATTACCGACAATTTGCTATCAAAAATTCCATTAAAATTATTGTCATGTTAGTTTCCATCAAAATTTCTGACATTAATGTTGTCGATCACTATAAATAGAATTCTCGTTATTCTCATGGCTTATTGCAAGATATATGTGGTTCTTCAAACATATTGGTCTCATTTGAGATTGATTTTAGATCTCAACTTTTAAATATCAAACAATCACACAAGTTAGACTGGTCTAGTTCGGGTTTGATTTTAGATCTCTACATTTAATTGTCAAAAAATCATAAGTTAGTTTGGGTACTTGGTAAATTAAAGAAACTAAGTACAGAAAAATATGTACCATACTATCCAAGTCCAATCCACAAAATATGATTTAAATTAATTTGAATATTTTTATTCTACATGGATTGCGTTTTAATTTTCTAATTTTATAAAATTTGAAATCTAGCAGATATTATTGTTTTTATTTTAAAATAAGTATATGAAATACATTTACATTTATTTGAAAAATATATGACAATATTACAGTGTTTCAAAAAATAAAAATAATAATACAAAAGAATATCATTATATATACTGAGGTACAACTAATAAAATAGTTTTTATTTACCAAATGTTAAATTTAAAACATACAACAAATCTGAAATAAAAGTTCACCAAATACATAATTAGTTCTTTCTGCAACTAATTATCTCCTAGCTTAGCAAAAATCGATTCTATTAAAATCATGACAATATCAGATCAAGTATTATAATATTATAATGTTTTAAAACGACTCATCTAACTTATCCATATGGAGATAGATGGTTGAATTGCATTTGCCACATAATTTTTTTTATATATTATTATTTTTTTATTTTATTTTATTATTATTTTATTTTATTTTTTGAAAAATCACTCTTACCCTCCTAAATAAGACTCTAATCCTAGCAAAGTGACGCTCTTACCACCTAGCTAGTAAGTTTTATGATAATTAAGCTTTTTAAAATCAAAATTGATTATATATATATATATATTTTGGAAAGTTTGTGTATAAGGGAAAAAAAAATTATTATTATTATTATTATTATTATTATTATTATTATTATTATTATTATTATTATTATATGAATGGTGAATAGTAATTATAAATTCACTAGAATGTACGGTTGAAAATGAAAATGAAGTTTGACTATTTATAAATAAATTAGCCGAACGATTAAAAAATTAAGATTAAGAAAATTATTAGTCAAACGACTAAATTGACTAATTAAGAAAATTAAGACTAAGAATATTATTAGACAAACGGCTAATTAACTTTTCAAAATTAAAATAATTTACTATTGTCTAAATTAAAATTAAGTGAAAAAACGAAATAAGAAAGCAAATATAATCATCATATATAACATGAGAGAGGACAAAATTGAAAATTAATACTAAAAGGGGAGGTTTATGGAATTTTTGAAAAGGGAAGGTCCCAGAATAAAACTGCACAATCCACAACTAACACCATGTAATAATGTAATAATATCTGATAGAATCACTTCATTTGAAGCGATCGAAAGTCAGTCATGGAGACTCAGAATAACTCGAAAAGGATCACACAGCCATCCCTACTAGGAGCCATTAACCTTTGCAAATAACAGCCCTACCACCAACCCTAATCTAAACCCATAGAATGGCACATGAAAAGCTTATATAGGGCTTCCAAGGTTCAATCCATTCCCCTCTTTCGTTTGTAAGTTCTCCATAGCTTCATTATTTGAACAATTCCTTCCTGCAGATCAGCTTTCCTACCTTGGTTGTAGTTCCACAGTTCGGAAACAATGTACCTCCCACTCGGGTTATATTCGTTTATCTCAATCAAAGCTGAGGTCACGGCATCGTACACTTCCTCGCCATAATTATTCTTCAGGTCTTTCAGCTTTTCATCATCTTGGTTGATTACTTCCTGAACCAAAAGAATAAGTGTGTGCAAGTAAACCACAAGCCAAAAACACTTCCAAACCATTGAAGAGAGCGACTAGAGTTCACTTCCAGAATAGGGGTTGATAAAAGGAAATCCCTATGCGGCAGTTTAGAGAATCAAAATATGGATTCTTGTTTCCAATCCATTAACTGTCTATCCCCGCTCCAATCCATTATGACTAACAACTCTACTGGTACGAAGATTTTAGTTAAACTGTTCATAGTTCAGCATTTAGAATTTAGCATTTGAGAATTCATTTGTACACAGAAATTAGCATTATACATGCACTCCAGGATGAACACACTCCTAACCATCAATATTATTCCGTCATATAACTTCACTTTGTCAACAGAAATTCCAGCTCACCCAACCGACAATTTTGCCTGGTACCAATAGGCAGAACCTGTCAATATAAATGGTTTATAGTATAGAATCCTATGTGTAGATATCACTGATAAACTAACAATCCCAAATTCTGAAATGATTAATTTATAAGTGGAATCTACTCATCGCTCGAGTTTATTCCAAGATACCATAAATGATCAAGGAAAGACTTCTTAAACACATTACCTATTTTGGAAACCTCAGAATGTGTTGTCAAACAACAAAATCTTTTGGAAAGTTGTTAGGAGAAGAAAGACTTTAATAAGATTCAGTAGGATCCTATCCCCTTGAACGAGGCAACCAGAAACAAGGATGGAAAGAAGGAAAGGGAGTTGTTTGGTAATGCTATCTTTGGACACATCATCAGTACAGACTTGGACAGGTAGAAAAGTGGAAAACGCCATTTTACCAGTAGACATCAGATTCACCTGCTTTTGTCTCCAAACACCTCCAGATCACTGTTTAGTTTTTTATAATATTTGGTTGTTCCAAAAGAGTGCTTTTGGTTATGGTAGGAAAAAGGATTTACTGTTTAGTTTTTTATAATATTTGGTTGTTCTGAAAGAGTGCTTTTAGTTAGGTTTGGAAAAAGGATGATACTAGTCACTATAGAGAATAGAGAATTGTCTCATAGGGTGACTGCTTTAGATATCTAGGTTCGAGTATTAATAGATAGAGACCTTGATGAGAATGTAGTGCATAGGCTAACGAGGGTTGGATTAAAAAGGCAAGTTCTACACAACCGTTACTAAACCAACTATAATTTACAAAATATGGTACAGGGTGTTGGATTGTCAAAGGATAAAGTCCCATGTCTTGAACACGATGAAGCTAAGATGGATCCTTGGCTATACCAAAATGGATAAGATAAGAACTAGGAATATAATGTCACCAATTGAGGATAAACTAAAAGAAGGCAGGCTTAGGTGATTGGCGCATATCTGCGTAGACCTAAAAATGCTCTCGTTCACAAAAGCAATGTAGTCTCACTAAAACAAGTTGAAAGAACTAAGGTAGGCCAAAATTAATATGCGAAAGATTTGAATCCATTAAATCTTCTTGTAGATGTATCAATGAACCAAACAAAATGGTTATTCATATAGGCTACAGAGGACCCAAATTTATTGGAATAAATTTTTTTCAATTATATGTTATACTGATATCCCCTTTTATTTGATTTTCCGTTTGTACTCTAAGATAGTTTTATTGTTTAATTTGTTCGTTTCATAGGACGGAGTACACTGACAAAAGACAAAAACACATGGGCAGATTTAAGTTACTCCTTCCAAATAAAAAATATTGTTTTCCCCCAAGTTTTTAAGTTGGCAGAACTTAAGCACAGTAATGCAATACTTGCTTGATCTGAATGTGTTTAAAATGTGTGCACAGTTGATCACCATTAATTATGGATTTCTGCTAAACCACTTCTTTTTCCTCAAAAATAAGCCTATACTACAACAAAAGATATATAGTAGAGCACTTTTAACTGCATACCTGATGTTTCCCTTTAATCTCAACCACCTTTATAGGATGCCATTCAGAATCTCTAAGGTACTCCTCCCACAGTGAGCACAATTCTGTTGCTCTTTCATCGGCCTCAACCTCATCATACTTCCTTTTGATTGCTTCATGAAATGGTTTGCTGTTGAGTTCTCCCATTCTCTTCACACCAATTTGACCATTTGTTGAAAATTCTTTCAAGCCCTAGAAAGTAACTTAATTAAGACACCGCATAAAGCTTGCAAGAACAAAAACTTGAAAAAAAGTTAGTGGGAAATCTTACATGCATGGGTTGCATTCGACCGTGATAAACAAGATTAATGTGTATTACATAAATTCACTTTCTAAATACTAAAAAACATATAGAAACCTCAACCCTCTGGCTCAGATCAAGCAAAAGGAAAAGAAACTTTAATCGAATTTGACATAACCTTTATCATAAGCAATGTGGAAAAATTTGAAAATCATTACAGGCAATGAAGCATCCAAGTCATTGGAGAAATTACCTGCAAATGACACAGTATAGGTGGAGGTAGCTACAACTTTAAACTTCTTCCCTCAATTAACATATGTACTAGCTATGTCACTCAGATCGGCTAGGAGGGTGTTGGATAAAATCCCTCATCCAGCATGGGTATTCCAAATTTTCCACAAGTTCTACTCTTAACAGAATAATCGACATAAATAAGGGTATTGACTATAAATAAATAAGCTCAGCCAGTGAAATGTACTCAACGATAAGATAAACATGTCAGATTCTCAGATGCTAACTATACAAACTCTGAATGCAAGCAAATTATAGGCATGGAACAGGCTGAGACACAGATTTCTGAAACCACTGAAAAGGGAAAAGAATTACAGAGCTTACATTAATTAATTCTTTACGAGCATCTTGCAGCTCATCGTTGCTATTTCGCTCCTGCACAATCAGAGTTTGATTTAATGCCAATAAATCTTCAAGCTCTCCTTCCTTTTCCCTCAATGACGTGTGCAGCGAATCCACTTTTTTCAGCACTTCCAAATCACCTTCACCTTCCACATGCCTCATAACATTTAATTTGCCTCTCAATTGCTCGATTTCAAGCTTTACTGCTTGTTCAGCATCCAGTTGTTTCTCCAGTTGAATGATTTTCCTGTGGAGGTTCTCCTTTTGTTTCTGAAATCATGAAGTACGTCATACGATCTCTTATGTAATGTTCGATCTTGGCATACTGAAATAAACAGCAAAGGTCTACTTAATGAAGGTGAGAACAATTAAATACCTTATGTTCTTCAGCCAATTTCAATACTTTCTCATCAGCCTTTGTTGGATAAACTAAAAGAAGGCAGGCTTAGGTGATTGGCGCATATCTGCGTAGACCTAAAAATGCTCTCGTTCACAAAAGCAATGTAGTCTCACTAAAACAAGTTGAAAGAACTAAGGTAGGCCAAAATTAATATGCGAAAGATTTGAATCCATTAAATCTTCTTGTAGATGTATCAATGAACCAAACAAAATGGTTATTCATATAGGCTACAGAGGACCCAAATTTATTGGAATAAATTTTTTTCAATTATATGTTATACTGATATCCCCTTTTATTTGATTTTCCGTTTGTACTCTAAGATAGTTTTATTGTTTAATTTGTTCGTTTCATAGGACGGAGTACACTGACAAAAGACAAAAACACATGGGCAGATTTAAGTTACTCCTTCCAAATAAAAAATATTGTTTTCCCCCAAGTTTTTAAGTTGGCAGAACTTAAGCACAGTAATGCAATACTTGCTTGATCTGAATGTGTTTAAAATGTGTGCACAGTTGATCACCATTAATTATGGATTTCTGCTAAACCACTTCTTTTTCCTCAAAAATAAGCCTATACTACAACAAAAGATATATAGTAGAGCACTTTTAACTGCATACCTGATGTTTCCCTTTAATCTCAACCACCTTTATAGGATGCCATTCAGAATCTCTAAGGTACTCCTCCCACAGTGAGCACAATTCTGTTGCTCTTTCATCGGCCTCAACCTCATCATACTTCCTTTTGATTGCTTCATGAAATGGTTTGCTGTTGAGTTCTCCCATTCTCTTCACACCAATTTGACCATTTGTTGAAAATTCTTTCAAGCCCTAGAAAGTAACTTAATTAAGACACCGCATAAAGCTTGCAAGAACAAAAACTTGAAAAAAAGTTAGTGGGAAATCTTACATGCATGGGTTGCATTCGACCGTGATAAACAAGATTAATGTGTATTACATAAATTCACTTTCTAAATACTAAAAAACATATAGAAACCTCAACCCTCTGGCTCAGATCAAGCAAAAGGAAAAGAAACTTTAATCGAATTTGACATAACCTTTATCATAAGCAATGTGGAAAAATTTGAAAATCATTACAGGCAATGAAGCATCCAAGTCATTGGAGAAATTACCTGCAAATGACACAGTATAGGTGGAGGTAGCTACAACTTTAAACTTCTTCCCTCGATTAACATATGTACTAGCTATGTCACTCAGATCGGCTAGGAGGGTGTTGGATAAAATCCCTCATCCAGCATGGGTATTCCAAATTTTCCACAAGTTCTACTCTTAACAGAATAATCGACATAAATAAGGGTATTGACTATAAATAAATAAGCTCAGCCAGTGAAATGTACTCAACGATAAGATAAACATGTCAGATTCTCAGATGCTAACTATACAAACTCTGAATGCAAGCAAATTATAGGCATGGAACAGGCTGAGACACAGATTTCTGAAACCACTGAAAAGGGAAAAGAATTACAGAGCTTACATTAATTAATTCTTTACGAGCATCTTGCAGCTCATCGTTGCTATTTCGCTCCTGCACAATCAGAGTTTGATTTAATGCCAATAAATCTTCAAGCTCTCCTTCCTTTTCCCTCAATGACGTGTGCAGCGAATCCACTTTTTTCAGCACTTCCAAATCACCTTCACCTTCCACATGCCTCATAACATTTAATTTGCCTCTCAATTGCTCGATTTCAAGCTTTACTGCTTGTTCAGCATCCAGTTGTTTCTCCAGTTGAATGATTTTCCTGTGGAGGTTCTCCTTTTGTTTCTGAAATCATGAAGTACGTCATACGATCTCTTATGTAATGTTCGATCTTGGCATACTGAAATAAACAGCAAAGGTCTACTTAATGAAGGTGAGAACAATTAAATACCTTATGTTCTTCAGCCAATTTCAATACTTTCTCATCAGCCTTTGTTTGTTCATCGGTTGCAGCCTGAAGTGAGCAATTTTTGACAGCATTCTGGAAGAACAATGGAAACCGAATAATCTATATACTTACTAGCTAAGAAGAAAAAGCAGAAAAAAACAGTGCACAATACATTTAATCAAAGTATCTCATCAAACCGAAATATGCAACTTCAATGGCTATTTTCTATATACGGACAAGAAAATAATCAACATGAATAGGGTGGTAATTTAGGATTCCTTTTGAAAGAATAGCAGGAACAGATGCTCTGTTTCCTAGACATATGCCTATGATACTTGGACCTGGGTCTACATCTGGTGGGGGCATGCTTCAGAGTGTAGAGTTTTAAAAACTCATAAATTTGCAACACGTGGATTTGGCAAACTATTAATATTTTTCTAAACTGTTTTCTTATGTTCTATGGATGTATAATGTATGTCAATATATTTGAAATAGTTATGATACAAATTAGACGATGTTCTGTTCACTATCTAATTTTATTTATTTTTATCTGTTGCAAAATATGGAGTAAGTGTCCCAAACCCTTCAACGAAGTTCAAGCATTTAACATGGGCATATCACTCATTAGAAGAGTAGAAGTAACATAATATTGTGCATTGTGAATATAAGAATGTTGCGAATTCTACTTCCTTTGAATTAAAGGGTCCAATAAATGCAATTGTCCTTAACTATATGTTTAATCAAAGAATTATTGGAGGGTACAATATGTTTGTGCAGGAGCCACTAGCTAACGGTAGCATCAGTAGTTGCTCTTGACCCGGCGATTCTTAATTAAGATTTCAAGTAAAGAGCTCCATCATGGGCGTGGAGGAAACTGATGTTAGATGATCAATGTTGATCCGATTGCCAAAACATATGATAGGATCACAGTCATCAATTTTAAACCAAAAATAACATTTAGAATAAAAGGGAAAGACAAACGACACAATTGGCCCAAATATAAAGCTAACAGACTATCACTTTTTTCCATTTTTATTACCTTATAGGAAAAGTGATTAAATAAAAAAGGGAACAAAATAAAGTTTAAAGAAAAAATCCTCAAACCTCATAATAAATCATACAATTTGAATTTGATTTTGAGATCTGTGAAAAGTAAGACATGAATGGATTAAATTGATCTAACTAATTCATTATCGAACAGGAATTGTTGTTTTTGTACAGTAATTAACACGTACCCCCAGCTACCAAGCACAAATTAGTGATATTGCAAACAATGTCATAAACCGATTTATATTAACAAGCTTCCCACAACTCTATTTAACAAAGCAAAGAACAATTTCAGAGAGTAGGAAGATGAATAACCAACTACACAATCAGAAAATTGGAAAAGACAAACCCTGAGAAAGGGAATTGAGGAATTTTAAGAATCTAGACCCTAAAATATGGAGACTCAGTAGATCTATCTAGTCCACTTAAGTAATGTAGGAAAATTATCTCTCACGGGCAAAATACTTTGAAAAGACGTAGCCGTTGACGCTGGTCCTTCATAGCACACTACTATGGTTTATCCACTTGCAGACTATGATCGTGACAAAATGTTTGTCTGGCCTTGAATTGGAACTGTTGCAAACATTCCTACATTCCTACTGATTTTGAGGAGGGTCGCCATTCCTATATTCCTACTGAATTTAAGGATGGTCGCTATGTGGGAGACAGCGGTACTAAACTGAGGGATCAGTTGACAAGAAGATGATTTACCCTACTAGAGTGCAACCTCTCTGGAATCAGCAGGGACATCCAGGAACTGCTCTTGTAGAGTTTCAAAATATTGGTCTCGGTTCAACAATGCCATGTCCTTCGAGAAAGTTTATGAGGCTAATCACCATGGAAAGAGAAGTTAGGTGGCAAAAAATGACTCCAATCTGATCTTATGGGTGTGTTTTTCAAGATGACGATTACAATTCTGATACCAATTTTGAAGAAAATCCTAGGAAAACTGGAGACCTTGTAAGTTATAACCATTTCTAGTGTAATGTAAGACGAGGTTTGGACTTCGGAAGACATGGAAGCTTGTAGGTAATTTAACAAATGTGATCAAGGCAAAGAAAGTGCACTGGAATGAGATGGAGAATAAATTCAAGGAGAAGAAGATACGTAATATGAGCATTCCTCCACTCAAACTTATTAAAAATATAAACTGCTAATGTCGCAAACAGAGGGAACGAACTATACTACTAAAATCATCATAATGGCAGAAGTTTTGAGAAGGGTACCCCGAATTTCATTCAACCAGCCGCTTTCTGACAATTTTTTTTTACTGCAAAACTACAATTGAAAGGCTGTGTCTTCTTTAGGATATCCACATACTTACTCAAGGGAATTATTCAAGAAATAGTGTTTCAAATCTAATGGGGTTGCCCCCCTTCTTTTGCAAATTCAGTCAGAGGTTATGCAAATATAACTCATTCATGAAGGCCTTTCTAGCCTGAATTGAAGATTAAGATGACTTAAGGCTACATTCAGACAAAATAGTGTTGCTGGCTGGATATGAAAATTGGCCTTATAAGCTGTCTTCTATCATATTTAAGAAAAAAAGAGAAGAGTTTTACAGAACCTGTTGACGAAGCTTCAATAAGTAGTGCAAGAAATGGTAAGAGTGGTACAGAGAGAGGATAGCACTTTGTATGACTACCTCAAAACATTGCAGAAAGAGATCACTGTAACAAAACACTTTCTCGAAGAGTTTTGAGAGATCAACTACTAAGAATAAATTCCAAGAGACTCACTTTTTATTTCATGGAGAGATTGTCGAGGTGATCTACATTCAACATGGCATATTCTAAGTTCCCTACAAACAAGGACCTAGATTTTTTTTTAAAAAACAAATATCTGTGTCTGCGTGAGAGAGAAAATTAAAGAGGGAAAGCTCTGATGTTGATCCTTGCCCCCTATGAAATCATGAGATATAATGCGGGTTAATACACAAATAAGAAAGAAATGCAGCACCTCTTCGAGCTCCTCAGCAAGCTTTCTCCTCTCATTTTCATTATGAGTCTCACGTTTCGCCAGTTCCTGACCCCGGAGCTCAAGCTCTCTTTTCCGAGTTTCCAGTTGCAACTTCAGCTTTTCATGGTCATTAAATATCTTTTGGAGATGATTACGTGCACCTGATTGTATCTTTTTGATATCTGATTAATACAAATGAGCATGTCAGGATAAAAAACAAGTAGGACTTAATTAACTCAATGCCATAGTGCAAACAAGACACACCATCATTATACTCTTGAAGAAGCTTATCCTTCACTGTGATTAACTGGCTAAGGGAGTTTTCAGTCTCGTTGAATTTATTCTCCATCTCTAGCAAGTGCATTGTCTTTGCCTCGATCACAGTTGTTAAATCACCTACAAGCTGCTGTGTCTTCCTAGCTTCATCTTCCATGATATCAGAAATGGTTCTAAGGTCTCCAATTTTACGTAGATTTTCACCAAAAATGTTATCAGAATTGTAGTCATCTGCTCGAGCCACCCACCCGTAAAGATCAGATTTAGAGTCATTTTTTGCCTGCCAACTTCTCTTTCCATGGTGATTAGCCTCATAAGCCTTCTCAAAGGCCATGGCATTGTTGAACCCAAGCCAATCATTTTGAAACTCTACAAGAGCAGTTCCTGAATGTCCCCTATAATTCCAGAGAGGTCGCACTCTGGTAGGATTAAAACCTTTCCTGGTCAACTGATCCCTCAGTTTACTACCACTTTCTCCCACATAGCGACCATCCTCAATTTCAGTGGGAATGTTGACAACAATTCCAATCCATGGCCAGACAAACATTTCATCACGATCATGGTCTGCAAGTGGATCAATCATAGTAGCTTGCTGTAAAGGACTAGAGTCAACGGCAACATCATTTTCCAAGTATTTTGCCAGTGCAAGATGATTTGCCTTGTCTTTCCTGGTTCGCTTCTGTGAACTGCACTTGCCAACACCAATTGCATGCTGCAAGAGTTCATTGTACAGGAAATCTTGCTTCTTTTTCTTTGGGCAGAAGGGGCAAGTGTAAGCATCATCAGATACTTTAAACTGTTGACTAACATTCTTCAGTTCTTCATATGCTTTCTCTTCATACTCAGTTTCGGAATCACTAATCTCGGTATCATCTCCAGAACTGTACTCCATTGAACTTCCCATAAGACTCGATCTTATGAAGGTCACACTGACTGCAAATGAATTGAACATTTATCACTAATTTCTCATCCAAAGCAGTATCATTTAGCCATCAGAGAAGTGTTTGGCATTAAAGATTTATTTTAGTAACCATCAAAAGAAAAATGGCAATGGAAAGATTCATTTATATATTCTATATTGTTCCACATAGGCACATTTGATATCTCAATGTTTACACTTAAAGAAAATTAAACAAGAATAAAAAACTAGCAAAATTTAACATGCTTGATGAAAAAATAATTTATTTGCAGACAAGCACCTTAAAATGCTCTAAAATCATGTAATAAATCAAAATCATTAACTTTTGGGGGAAATCAAGTACTTTCAACTTTCAATTTTATTGAAAAAAGTTGACATAAGTTCCTCTTTTCTTTTTTATTAAATGAACATGATCAAACATAAGGAAATAACAAATTTAATAAGAACTAATCGCCATTGAAGCAGTGTCATCAACAAAAATAAACTACTTCAAATTACAAAACTCAATATCTGTGCGAGAAGCCTGCATTAAGTGAATAAAAATTTTTAATTCGCAACTTCTTCCCCCTTTTCGCAACATGCAAACATAGAACAGGCAGGAATCAAATAACCCAATAGAATTGCAACGGAAAGATGAACATGCAAGGAAAAAATCATATTAAGTAGCACATGACCAACAGAGAAAATAATAAAAATGGAAAGAGAAGGAAAATTTAAGCGGAAATTGAGGGGAAATGACTCGCAAGAGTGAAATTTGAGCAACGATTCACAAAATTTTTCAAGACTTGCCAACATTTTTCTCCTTTTCACAGCATAACAGCGGAGAACATTGGGAAATCAAATAACTCAAAAGGAAAAGAAACAGAAAAATGAACGTGCATGGAAAAAAATCATATGGAATTAATAACTGAACAATGCAATTCATTCTTCGGACATCAAACAGAAGACATTTCCTTTAAAATTAACTCACGAGATTGAAATTTTAGCTGCAAATCCGAATCGTGAAATTGCTGAGCAGAAGATAGTGGGTTTCGGGGGCGTAGAGGACACAGAGTGAAAATGACGTTCGGTTACTTGGGTTCCACGATAGACACGCCAATATTCTGAGCCGATTCAGGTAAAGTTGGCCCAACCCTTCATTTTTATTTATTTTTCTTTATTATGGAAGATACACTTGGTAATAATAATAATAATAATAATAATAATAATAATAATAATAATAATAATTCTTGAAAAATCACTCGCACCTTTACTAATACTAGTTTAAAGCTTAATTGTCAATCCCTCCGTGGCTCACTTATTATCTAACCAATTTGTGAATCAATATAAATTGAACTAGACCATTTTTGATTAATTGCTTTGGGCTTGAAGCCTATCTTTGGTTAGGGCTGGACATGGTCCACTCGGTTTGGTTCTAACGAAAATCGAATCGATCTGAAATTTTCGGGTATTTCGTAATTCGAATTGTCAGATCCAAATTTTATTATAGAACCGTTCGAGTTCGGTTCCATTCAGTTCGGTTCTGTCCGGTTCAGTTCCGCATTATAATTAAAATTTTTAATATATACAAAATTACATTAATTTAATTAATGATATGTTTAATATTAGCTCTTACAAAATAACGTAATCCAATTTTATTTGTCTTTTACGTCTCTCTTTGCTGAATTCTTCATAAATTTAATTATTAAAATCACAGGAAGAGAAAGATAGTGAGCTCAAAATAATTAAGAGAGATGTTGTAGAGTTTCAATTCGATTTTCTCCAGTAGAAACGACATTATAATAGAGTAACATATTTGGATAAAATTGAGGTCAATTTGATTAAGTTGATTTTGAATTGAAAATTAGAAATAGAAAAATCATATTTTGTGGTTTGAACTAAATTAACTAGTTAACAAAATTATTTAGAAAAAATAAAATAATTTTGCTTCTTTAAAATAAAAAAAATTAAGGAGATTCAGTTCTTATTCGGTTCTTTAGTCTTGGCCTAGAACCAGAACCGAACCGTACCCGTCGGTTCTTGATTTAAATACCCGTTCGGGTATTTAATTTGAGAAGAACCGTCGGGTTCGATTCGATTCGAGAGTTTTGTCCAACCCTATCTTTGGTGACTAACATTGTCTTCTTTATAGGCTATAGCCCCATTTGGCTTCAATTAAATTACATTTCATTTTTTTCTTTTATTTTCAACTACACAATCGTTCATAAAATTATATTATGCATAAATCGATTTTTTTCCTTTTTTAACCACTCATTTTTCAAAATAAAAACTATTCCACCCATTTTTTAATTCAAGAAAATGGAGGCTAAACGGGGGCATAGTATGATTGGAATCAATGCGAATCATATGTTCGACGAAAATGTTGTTCCCATATATTTAAAAGGAAATAGAAGAAGTATTATACCTAAAAGTATTTTCAGTATACTCTGTAGATGTAAAATACTCTTTCATGAAGTTTAGCTTTAATAGACTCTCTATTTTAATTTTTAAAAATAAAGACAAATTTGAAGAGTCCATTTCATTCTTTATTTATACTTTAAAATACTAATAGAATTCAATAAGTTTCAAATTTCAATGCTCCACATCTCGAATTATTCAAATCGTATTTTATCTTATTCGCCATTTACTTCTAATAAATATATTAATTTAAGAAAAAAGACTGAATTTGTCTCTCCAAATTTCTTTCTATTTATACAATAAGCTTCAAAATAAAGTAACATAGTAATTAGAAAAAAGTTTGTAAAATTATTTCTCTTGTTATTCCGTTTTCATCAATTTTTATATTGGGTTGGATGTAATTATCTGATGCTAAGTCAAAGTGGTTCGATGATGCATCCCACTTTCTTGTTTCCACGTCCGATCCTCTAATAGTTATTGATTGGTTTGTTCGGGCTATGATCAGTCCATTTACAAATTGGCTCATGTGTGTGGTTACTAGCCACCCGCCCCTGTTTGGTTTAGCTTAAAATTTTGAAAAAAAATTGAAATCAAATTTAACAATTAATTTTAATCATACATTTTATAGGATCCACAATTTTTCAACCACACATTTCATTCTCTTTTATTAAAATCTACTAAAAATTATCCATAAATAATACTCTTTCTAAGCTCACGACAGGATCTTTTATTCCGAGAAATTCTTTCCAAGTCTTCTTCTTGCTACGGTGCTACCTAAAACAAGAAAGCTATTGTGAAATTATAATATTGTAATATGCAGTAGATGTTGGAATTGAATTGTAATAAAAAAAGGCTGAACCCCAACCTTGAGAGCCCCCACCGTCCCGCCTCTAGAGATTTGTGAGGGAGGTAAATTGAGGAATGTATCCCAACAGGTCAGGAAACAAGAGCTGCCTGTACACTGCGCCAACAAGGAGCCCAATTTCATGTCTCAGGAATCGAACTCCCATATTACGACTGCTAGCAAGGTGTGAAATAACCTCGCTCCTGTTCTTTGCACCACTGGACTATGCTCCGGGGGCTAGAATTGAACTATAATATTATGACATGTAGATGTTGGAATTCAACTTTGTTTTATTTATTCATGAATCTTGTAATAAATCTGTTGCATGTTAGAATGCGATGATATTAATAATATAAACGTGTGAGATGGTCATCAAGTTCGTACAATTGTTTTCGTTTAGTAACTTATCATTGTGTTCAAAGTTTACGGGGTCTAATATCTCAATTTGTACACAAAGAGGTGGTTCGATGCTTAATACTGCAAGGCATGGATCTACTCAAATCGCTATTAGAAAAAAAATGCATCATTGAGTTTCACCTGTCGATATGGTCCGAGTCCACTTCACATTGTAGCTATTAAGGGGCGTAAAGATGCAGTAATGATGCTCGCTGAATTTGGTGTTGACCGGAAAGCCAAGATGCTGAGGGCCATATGCCACTGTAAATGCCAACAGCAAGGAAGGTGCTACCATCTTGTACCGTTCTAAATTTGATGAAATATCAATGTACGACAGAAGGATCTCCTTCATAGGTTGATGAAATATATTATTGAAAAGTTGTGAATCTAATAAAATATATGGTACAACTTAAAATTTTAATTTGGTTTTAATCTAAATCAAAGAGTTAAATTGTTTCAATAGTTACTGAATTTAGGTTCATGGCTTAGATTGATCGAGTTTTGATCACTAAATTTAAGTCCATATCTTTTATTGCTCACTAAACTTTAAAATATTGAGTTTTAACTATTAAATTTTGAAAAATATTGTACATTACTCAATAACATAATTTCCATCTCAAACCTTTTACGGAATTGGTGACGTGGTTATTGAAATGCACAAGTGGCGCTCTATCACACTGTTAAACTTTGAGACGGTCAAATTTTGACATGTCTTCTATTGCACCCTAAACTTTGAAGTGGTCTAATTTTGGTCACTGAAATTTGAAAAACATCGAACTTTAGCCAATAAACTTTGAAAAATATTTTTTATTGTTCACCATAAATTTGGATTTAACAACACAACTACACAATAAAATATTTTACATGTAAACTCAAATTTTTTAACCTCACGTTCTCCAAAAAATCACTATTTTAAAACTCGACCATCTCAAATTTTAGCTGCCAAAATTCAACTATCTCAAAGTTTAGTAGTCAAACTTCGACCACCTAAAAGTTCAGTGAGTCTGGTCGAGTTTTTGTCACAAAACTTTGAAAAACGTCTTTTATGACTCATGACAAATTTGGATTTAATTAAAATTCGTTGCTAAACTTTGGATTTAATTTTATTTAATAACAAAAAATTCATTATAATAAAAATAAATACAAATTCTAAAAAAATCAATCAAATTTAAATTTAACTACTACATAATCGAGTACCATTCATAATGATATAGATAATACTTGCAAAGCTATGCAAAGGGAGTGACTACTCATTGCAATGAAACACACAATATATTTGTCGTAAAAATTAAATTAAATCCTAATTTTTTTAACAACGAATTTTAGTCCCTATTTGATGGCCATTATTTAAAAAAAAAATGAGTTCTAAAAATAATGATTTTTTTGAGAATGTGTGATTAAAAAATTGGTAAAAATTTTGAGTATACGTGTAAAAATATTTTATTGCACAAATGTGTAGTTAAATCCAAATTTATAGTGAGCAACAGTGGACATTTTAAAGTTTAGAGAACACAAAGTTTGACGTTTCTCAAAATGTAGTGGCCAAAATTTAAACACCTTAAAGTTCAATAAGCACTATGAGACATTTTTCATAGTGGCTAAAATTCGACTATCTCAAAGTCTAACAGTGTGACGAGACGTCACATGTGCATTTTATCAGCTATGTCACCAATTTCATTAGAGGTTTTAGACGAAAATTATGCTAGTCAATAATGTACAACATTTTTCAATATTCAGTGGTCAAACTCGACATTTTAAACTTGGGTCATCAATCAAAGATATTGACCTAATTTCAATGACCAAAATTTGACATTTTAAATTTTAATGAGTAATCGAAGATTTAAACATAAGTTCAATGAATATTGAAACAATTTACTCTATATAAAATTATTTTGATGTGTGTCAAGGGATATGGACCAATCCTTTAAAAAATGGAAACAGACTAACCCCATCCCTCACTCTTTAAGTTCATGAGTTAGTTCGCCAATTATACGTGCCGTAGGGGTATTTTTAAAATTGGCTTAGTTAAATCTCCTAATTTTCACTTTAGATTTTTGTTGACACATAAAAATTCAGCCCAAATCGAACGGCCCAAGGAATGAAGCCCAATTGGAGGGTCCCCAAATCAGATAGCCCAAAGAACGAAACCCAATCAAACAATTCAAGATGAAGGCCCAAATAGGGAGGCCCAAGAATGCGGTAACGCCATCGCCCAAGTTTGTAAGTCGCCCAGAATCTGAGCGAATGGAGTGCCATGCAGTTGCCCAGAGCTGTTACTCTATTATCGTCCAAACCTTCAAGTGGCCCAAGGTTTTAGCAAACATAAAGTGTTGTGGTTATCAAGAAGTGCAGTTATCAAAGGAGTTATTAAAGCAGCCCTATCATGTTCCACGATTCAAGGAATTCAATCGAAAATGGTTGAACGACGAAAAGTAATGACAG